CTATGTGATCAGTAAACAATAGCAACAATGACACTATACCATCACTTTCCTTTTTAAACAAACATGGATCAGCCATGCCAGCTACAAAAACTATCTTAGTTAATTCCTTAACTCTACACTGGTTCCACTCATATCCTGATTGCTTCAAGCCATAAAGACTCTTTTTTAATCTCCAGCAATCAGTTGTATTATCATTTTTGATACCTAAAGGTTTCTTTGAATAAATAGTGTTTTGCAACAGTGCATGCAGATATGCTGTCTCTACATCTAAATGATTTATAATGTATTTCTCCTGAGCTGCCCACACTAATGCTGCCCTTAATGTAGTAGCCTTCAGACTAGGTGCAAACACCTCATCATAGTCATTTGATGTCTGATTGAACCCTTGTGCTACTAACCTGGCTTTATGGGTAACAGTCCCATCTACACCGGTCTTTAGCTTATAAATCCATTTATACCCTATGGCATGCTTACCTGGTGGTAACCTAACATTTTCATATAACTCCAACCTTTGTAAGGATTTCAGTTCCTTATCCATTGCTTCCTGCCAAGCAACCTGATCCTTAGCAGGATACAGTTTTAGTTCATTATAGTTACCAGGAACTGTGTTCACTTGGCATACAACACTAGCCTGATATCTATCAGGTGGTCGTGTTACTCGGATTGAATGTCTTGGTAATACAGGGCTTACTGGTGGACTCACCTGTTCCACCTGCTCCTGTTCTTCTACTTCTTCTTGTGCCTGTTCTTCTACTTCCTCTTGTTCTTCCTCTTTAATGGCTATTTGTGGTTTACTTATTTCATCTTTAGGGACTATTCGGGTGTCAATAATAATATCATTGCTGGATTCTGTTCCAGTTTATCCCAACCAACGTGTTCAAGAAATTTTGCACTAGCACTACAATAAACATGAGCTGTGCCTGGATCCCAGAATCTAAATGATCTATGGTTGGCCATGTAACCTACGAAAAATAATTTCCTAGCTCTATGTTGCCCTTTCAGTCTTACTTGTGAGGGAATATGCACCCATGCTGGAGCTCCAAATGTGTGTATATAACTTAAATTTGTTTTTCTGACATGCCGACGAGTGAATGGCAATTCACCAGTTGTTGTATTCACCACATTGTTTAACACATGATTGCTAACATTATGGCCTCACCCCACAGTGTTTCAGGCAAACCTGAATCAGATAACAGAGAGTGAGCCATGGCTTGTAATGTTTGCCCTCTTCATTCTACAAACGAATTACGTTGTGGTCTGTAAGGTGCAGAATGTTTATGCTCGACACCAGCCAATGTCAGCATTGTTTGGAATCTATTGTTAACAAACTCAGTCCCATTATCAGTAACTAAAGTAATTACTTTACTCCTCATTTTTCTCTCTGCAAACCTTAGCCAATTAAAGAAATGTTGGAATGTTTCTGTTTTGTTTTTCATGAGATAGCAGAAACCGTACCATGAGTAATGGTCCATTATACTCAAAACATAGCAGGCACCTCCCAAACTGGGTTTCTTAGGACCAATTATGTCAGCAAAAACAACCTCTAAAGGTTTTTTGGTCTTAAACCCATTCAGTCTGTTTGCTGGAGTAACCTTGCTTTTCTCCTGACTATAGGCATTACAGTTTTAATACTTGCTACAGGGTTTTAATTTTACTCCCTCTGACAAGTCAACAGTTTGTTTGAACATTTTGAAATTAATGTGCCCCAGACGTCTATGCAGTAAATGTATACATTTGTCATGTGGCTTAACATTGTTATAAACCGAGTTAGCCATCTGCAACTGGTCATCATGTATCACAGATAAATCATTCTCTAAACTAGCAGTAACACTTTTTCCCTCTTTCTCTATTATACAGTTATCTCCCCTAAAGGTTACTACATAACCAACATTAACTAAAGCCCTTACTGATAACAAATTAAATTTCAGTTTAGGTACATATAACATAGTTAAATACTTGTTTATACAAGAACAATATGCAGTACCTTCACCAGATGCTTTCATCTTCCATCCATTTGCCAATGATACATGTTGCTTACTCATGGACATCTTTACAAACCTCTCTCTATTTTTAGTAATGCACTGCGATGCTCCACTATCAATAACCCACAAATCATGGTTTACAGTTGAATTGCTAGACATAGCTAAACTAACATTCTTTTTAGTCTTCTGGTGATTACCAGTATTCTGTTGTTTTCCCTTCTTACAAAATTTAGCTATATGTCCCTTAGCCCCACAAGAAAAGCATTTCCTAACAGTATAGGCAGTTGAAGACAAATCCTCTTCTTGTGGTTGTTCCTTTCTCAATTGGTCCCTATCCAGCCGTCTTCTTGCCTCTTCTAACAATCATCTGGTTATGTCAGTCAATGTCAGTTTATCTCTGGGCAGGACTTCCAGTGAAGATATGTAATCATCATAACTTTCATCCAATGAGGAAAGAATGATATAAACTTGATGCAGCTCTGAAAAAAACAGTTCCTTTTCATGTAGCTCTTGAAAAATTCTTTTGATGAAGTTCAAATGAGCTAACATATCTCCACCTTTCAGAAGACATGCTCTAAACAGTTTACATGTAAGATGTATGTGTGCACCTACACTGTCACAAACATAAATCCTCTTCAAATTCTCCCAACACCTAGCAGCAGACTCTGCTCTACGAATATGGACTAGCTGCTGGTCACTCAGTGTTAGTCCAATTATACAAAGAGCTCGTTTATTGTTCCATTTAAAGTCAGCAAGCTTCTTGGCATCGTCCTCATCATCTGGATCCCAAGCATTTACATCCAGTGGATCTTGAACTGCATTCTATAACGCTTCTCTACGCAGGAGTAGACTGCACTTCATAGACCAGGAAACATAGTTTGTTCCATCCAACCGGGTTATCAGTGATAGACTTGTTGAAGGGTCTTGTGCCATCTTTACCACAATTAAACAGTAAACAGCTGTCTGTATACGGTACTGTATATTCACACCAACTCTCAGTTATCTGAGCCTGGTATGGACTGGGCCCATAACCAGTGCTGAGGTAATTCCCCATTAGGAGAATAAGTGCACACAGGGAGACGTAGTGAGAATGGTGAAGAATAACACACAACCAGCACACAGATACACTGTATAGTAAAATGTAGGTTTTTAGTTCCAGTAAACGGTTAAGCAAAGTTCAACAAACAGTCCAAGTCATACACGGTTAAAGCACTCAGTTTTCAGTCCAGGGATAATCCAAAATATCAAAGTCCAGTATCAAAAACAGTTCAGTAATAGACTCACATCAATCCAAGACTAATGATGATCAGCAACAGTCAATAGGGAAATGCAGGAACGGCAACACTCTCCAGAACAGGATTAAACAACTCAGGTTTCTGGCTCCATTTGAGGAACCACAACCAATTACAATTTTAGCATTCCCTTAAAGAGACAGTATTAAAATGTCTATCCTGGTTTATATATTTTCCAATCCAACTGTTAGGTGACTTACATTCCTAACAATAGGGTACAATAAACAATCAAATCATACTAGGAAACAGTCCATATAAATCGTAAGGATACAAGCGACAAAGTTACAGTCATACAGTCACAAGTGGGAGGGGATGGGCGATAAGGAGTGATGAAAAGATTAATAGTAATAGTAATGCAGACTTTATAAATAGTTGTATGGTGTTGAGGGAATTATTTGTTTAGCAGAATGATGGCATTCGGAGAAAAAACTGTCCTTGTGTCTTGTTGTTCTGATGTGCAGTGCTCTATAGCATCGTTTTGAGGGTAGGAGTTGAAATAGTTTATGTCCGGGATATGAGGGGAACAGTTTATGTCCAGGATCTGTAAATATTTTCACAGTCCTCTTTTTGACTTGTACAGTATACAGGTCCTTGATGGAAGGCAGGTTGGTTCAATGTAAACAAACGCTGAAGTAATCTATCCACACAGCATCACATAAATAGTTATGTTATCTGAAGTACTGCACTATAGGGATCTTAGCTTGATATCATTGTAAATCAATCAAAGAAAAAGCAGTCACTACTGTATTGCTGTCAGCCGCCATCCAACTTGAATCAGATTTGGGACTGCCACAAGGGAGGATGGGTAACCGTGGGAATGAAAATAAAGTGAGAAAGGAGGATAGCCACAACAGCATTCTTTCTCCAAAGCTCAAGGACAAATCTCTGGACTATGAAGGGGAATGACTGGACTTGGTGGGAGTTCAGAATGGAGGTGGATTGGAGAGTGTGACTTGAAGGTCATCAGAAAAGGGGGCTGGGTGTGAGTTTAGTATAGCAGGGGAAAGTGCGGGAATTCAGATTCGGGTTTTCCCAGATGTAGAGAATATGACTTCTCTAATAAATTCTTACTTGGATGGACTTTGTCTCCGAGTGCTGAATTGGGGTGGAGAGTTTGGTTGGAACACTAACAATTGCATTAAAACAATTATTTATTGGGGTTCACCAGAAATCAGAAACCTGTATAAGAATCTATGGTGCATTCATAGTGGAAATTCTACATGTAAAGCTGCAGAAAGTGGAAAAACAGAATAATTAAAATGATCAAGGTTGCAGAAATAACAAACTTTGCATTAGTTTTTTAAACAGAAAAAAGATAGCGATATGATGAAGTAGATAAAATTGGGCATGATGTAAAGGAAATTAATAAACATTAGTTTACCCCCTCTCATATTACAACTTGGCATCATCCAATAAAGCTGGGTGATAGGAGATTCAAGATAAAAGATTGTATCTCTTCACATTATGTGCAGTTAAAGTATTGAACCTGGAAAATTTTAAAACAGGATTAGAAAAGTTCATGGAGATGAACTACTATTATGTGCAGTTAAAGTATTGAACCTGGAAAATTTTTAAAACAGGATTAGAAAAGTTCATGGAGATGAACTACTATTAGAAAAGTTCATGGAGATGTGACTACTATTCTTGAAACCTGTAGATTTCCACAAGAAAATCCAAGTTCCCCTGAACGTTCAAAAAGTATGTGGAGAGAGAAGATTTATCTCACCTCTGTGTACAATGGTTCATAGATATCCACTCCATTATCTTGACTATGGGAAAGAGTTTCGGAACCCCTTCTCCAGATGAAGCGAGCAGGTGGATTAGAGCTGACTGTGCATCTAAGGAAGACTGTCTTCTCATGATAAAAACTCCCACGGACATCACTGATAGTTTGATGGACAGTAAGGACGGGCTTATCCAAATCTGCAAAGAAAAGAAGGAAGGAGGGAATCCACAGACATTGCTGATGAGATTTAAGCCATAATATAGAAAGTCTTGGGTCACCCAATGTTCCAGATACATAGGAAAAGAAGGTAGCTTGGAAGACGTCATTCCACCCACCAGGCAAACTAATAATTCTCAAAGTGATACCTCCCTAAAACTGAAGAAGCTTCTTGGATGAGAAGTGAAACAACTTCAAAGAAAAACCAGAAAGTCCAGTTGCCTCTTGAAAAAGCACCTCTGGGTCCCTAAAGTAAGGCTAGCTATCTGCTAGGTATCTGCATAGCAACTGAGCTTTTCTAAAACAACTAAATGAGGAATAGGATAAATTGCATTTGCCAGATTGATCAGTAAATACTACAAGGACTGCTGTCTGTAAAATATCTGGCCCTAGAAGACTGAAAAGCTCATTTTGTCCTGGGGCTAGTGAACATGTCACAGAAGTCCTTTGAATAAATTGTGCATTCTGTTGTCTTTTAGCAAGCCAGATGGTGAAAGAAAACAGGAGACAGGCTATTTTTAACTTGTTATATTGATATTTTAAGCACTGTGTCCGGCTTTGTGCCAGTTGATAAAATTCAAGTGCTTTGTATTTTGTCTGTCATTGTGGAGTGGAGATCTTTAATAATGCTTGTGAAAACTTGATGCCAGATCTGGTTGTTTCTGCCTAGCCTGCCAAATGCATCTGTTCATCACTTTTATTCTACTAATGATACTTTGTAGTTTCTTTGAACTGTAACTTTTCTAAATTTGAATGAAGTTCTTGCTCCATCAACTGAGGTACCACTAGTGGAAAGATATGCTTTAATCTTGCATCTTACATGGTCTCTCAACTAGAAAGACATTTTAAATATCACTTTCTAGCTAACCCCACTTCGTCCTTTTTAATATAAATTCAACATTTTAATTAGATTTCTGTATATGGTTTGCAATCATTTGTTTCTACATTAAATAAACCAGTGGTTTCAGTTAGTGTCATGTTCATGCCAGAATTGGAGTTGATCTATATTTAGTACAAAATCAAGAACTTTAAGAGTTATTCTTGAATCACATTATTGAATGTTCCTCCATTCAAGTCTTCATGCAAACAGAAATTAATCACAATGAAAAGCAATTTAAGCAGGACCTGCTCAAAACCCCACAAGGGCAATATCTTTATTTGCTCAACCAATATTTTATCATCTCTGCAAGTTTTCATGTTTCTTAAAAATCTTTTTCAGCCTCAAGGAATGCAATTTGGATGCTGTCCAATACAGCAGGGTGCAAAATGTTTCTGAATTATAGCAAGGGTTTTTGTAAAGATATAGCTCTCTGAAGATGTTGGCTCTTATTTCATGTAAGAGGCCAAATAATATATATTAGCCCCAATCTTAAGTTCATTTTTCTGCTTTTTAACTATTTCACTTCATTAAAACTTTTAAGAAACTTGAAAGCTAAAGTTAATACTAAATTTTGGTTAGTAAGGTAAAGATATTGCATCTATAGGCTGTTTTATTTCAATTTTTTTCCTGGCTGACACATCTATCATTATGGAAAAGGTATAACTCAGTAGTTGGCCATATTCTTTAAATTCAGAAGGGCCAAATTAAGTCCTTACCATCTCCAGATAATACTGAAACTACATTCTTATCAAAAAACTTAAAGATATACTCCCTGTAAATGATATTGTTTGGTGAACCAATGACCCAATCTGATAAAAAGCAGCTTCCTTGGTCCCAAAGACTATTTTTACATGGGACAAAGTTCATTATTATAAGCCTCTGCTCATTGTGTGAACCAAAATCCTGCAGGTAAGATTCAGTAGGTAGTTCTGTTAATAACAGTGCATCATAACAAGACTTCTGTTTCCAAGATACTTTGAATCAAATAATATAATTCTTGCTATCCATTTAGGTTCCCGCTTCATTTAAAGTTCTGCTAATGAGGAGAGACAGAGCCAAACCAGATTAATGAAAGTTGTCAATATGCATCATATGTCCCTAATTTCAGACAGTTGGGGGGGTGTATTTGTGCACTCTGAGGTTGGGGAGATGGATAATCATTAAACTCAGTGGAGAAAAAAATCCAGATGTACACTAATGAGGACCAAATGCAGAGCCTTTGTAAAAGACACCACTAAAGAAAAGTCCTTGCATATTTGAAGCATGTGACCACAGAGCGCATCTGAAGGCTCCTCTTTTCTTCCATAAAGCTCTTATATGCTGTTAACATTTAAAATATTGATTTAGCTATATGCAAGTCTGGAACTCTGGTTTCAAGACAAGATACTACTTTCTGCTAAAAGCAAACATTTTCCATTAGAAATGTGCCTAGGCCAGGCAATTTGCATATTTTAATGAGGCACATGTTTTGAAGAGCCAGTGTTTGTAATAAAAGTTGAGATTTCTTAGTGTGATAACACTAGAAGTATATTCAGACACATGGACAGATTTTCCCCCCCCAGCCAAGTAGTGATATTGAAAGTGGCAGAGGAAAATATAAAACAGATGTGGAGCCAGATTAGAGGGCCTTCGTATGTACTTTGTAAGGAGTTTCAATCAAGATATCCTAAACTTTATTTCATACCCAAGTTAATTCTAGGCAAACTTTTTAAACATTACCCCCTTGGATGTCTCCTAAATAAGCATCAGGATTCCACTTTCCTTTATAAATCATTTTTTAGTTCCTACAATAACCTAAAATGAGATTGGTAGAGTCAATCAGAAGAATGACTAATGTCCTCTGGATTGTTATGCATATTACAGTATGTTGTGCATACAAAACTATTCATGTCAATGTATACAGAAACTCTTTTCTACATTAATGGGAGAATGGAGTCTTTCTATGGTAACTAAATACAGTATTAATGTTCTTTTCCCAAGGGCTTTGTGATCACATCATTCAAGTGAGAAAATATGGGCTCATTGCTATTTTATTCCTCTGCATTTTGATCTTCCTTTGCAGCAGTTCCTATTTGGATGGCCTTCAGAATTGTTCTTTGCCTTGTTCCTTCCATAAGCTAAAGAAAAAAAAAATATCAGTGATAATGAAATAGCTGAAATAGCATCACTGGGCTTTAAACAATGACATGCAAATGGGGCAGCAATAAAATTCACCTGATCTAAATCTCAATTGTCTGCTGTCTAACTCTCATTCATTTTTGATGCTGCGAAGCAGTTATAACAAGGTGACTTACCTTTGGCCATTTCACCTAGAAATTTTTTTCTGCCCCCAAATCTCTTAGTGTAATAAGTTCTCACCTGCACTTCATCCCAGAGACCTTTAATTTCCTATCAGTCTCCAGTGACAGCTCTAATCTCTTACCATACTGCTTTGGAGTATTTTGGGGGGGGGGGGGGTAGGGGGACCTACTGTGTCAAAGTGAATGATTAAAATAAGTTGAAGTGATTTAACCTCTTCATATTTAAATGTGCAAACTGTGTCAGACTCTCCTTTAATTCAAGTTCATGTCTTTATTATCTTAAAGCCAATTTCTCACATCTATTATTCACTAAGTCTGTAGGAACTACAAGCCCCAAAGCTCCTTGCCCTGCTTGTGTGATGCCATTTTTCTCATCCATAGATGAGATAGATGCCTTTGACTTCTGGTGACCTGCTGGAAAAGTCATTGCAATTTTCTTGGTAAGATTTTGGAAGTGGTTTGCTGTTGCCTCCTTTCTAGAGCTGAGAGGGTGATTAGCCCAAGGATTAACACTCAGGCTCCAAGTTTATTACCTGATGCCTTAACCACTATACCACTACACCAAACTGACTTTTCATCCTTTCTTTTCATCCTTTCTCATTCCTAGTTATCCTGTAACCCAAACCAATGCAGATGGTTGCAAATTCACCAATCACTCTTCCAACCTAAAGAAATCTGAGTACAAAAAATGCTCTCTCCCAAAATTCTGAAGAAAATCATAATTTTACTCATGCCCTCTTCTTTGTTTTCCAAGCTGAAGGTAATAGAAAAGCCAAGAAGATGTTCCATACCCTTAGCAATTTGCAAGAGTCTGTTGTGCTTACTTTAAGCCTCAGCATGTCTCAGCAAAATCATTAAAAGTATTAAATCTTAGCAAACACTGATGACAGTAGAAATGGTGATTATGGAAAGAATTGTACTTATTTTTTAAAATAATATTTTGAAGTATTGAAAGCACTTCATCTATCTCTAGCTGGAGACATTAAAGCCTACAGCAATACAAAATTTTAATAAAACTATATCAGAGCTTAATTCACAGTTATTAGCTTGCCAACTGATACAACCATGTGAGTTGTTTCAATATCAATATAACTTTTAAATGTCCCCACTTTCCATCTGGCTTTCCTATCTCTTCCTCCCAGCATGGAAAAACTCCAAGGAACAGCTTCCCTGATTAATAATGATGTCTGGGGACTTTGTGCTAGTGGTGGCAGTTTTCTGGATCTTCAGCAGACCTGCTTGCTGGCACTGACTGAAATATAGCAGCAGGTTGGCTGAGTTTCTTCTACTCTACAGGGATTTATATGAATCTTTGGAATAAGTTTGTGTGAATGAATGGTAACACATGACCTGAGGTTTTTCTGAAAACTGAAAGCTGTTTAGGAATTTGGTGGAAAGGTTGAGTAATTTCAATTTTTAATACTAATCTACAGTATTTGTAAAAGGGGCGTGGTGGCTCAGTAGCTTAGACACTGAGCTCATCAATCAGAAAGGTTGGTAGTTTGGCAATTCGAATCCCTAGCACTGTGTAACAGAGTGAGCTCCTGTTACTTGTCCCAGCTTCTGCCAACCTAGCAGTTCGAAAGCATGTAAAAATGCAAGTAGAAAAACAGGGACCACTTTGGTGGGAAGGTAACAGTGTTCCATGCACCTTTGGCATTTAGTCATGCTGGCCATATGATCATGGAGATGTCTTTGTACAGCGCTGGCTCTTCGGCTTTGTAACGGAGATGAGCACCGTCCCCTAGAGCTGGAAATGACTAGCACATTTGTGCGAGGAGAACCTTTACTTTTACTGTAT